AACAAATTTTCTAACAAATCAAATTGATGCATTTTTAGAACGATCAAGCAATGGAAATAATACACCAACGTCAACGTGAACTCATCTTGCTGTATAAGTCGCGTGTCAGAGCGGTAAAGCTTAGTTTAGTGTTTTGGTACAGAGCATTGTAATTGCCCTTTCTTGTCTTTCCCGTGCATAGCGCGGGGCGTTCCACTAATATTAATAACAATAGTTTTTCGCTAATATCACGAAAACTAGAGTTTTCCGTCAATTATGCATAAGGAAAAACTCGTTCAGAATCATGCCACTAATAACGTATTAGAAGGACATTAAAATCGTTCGAAGTTGGTTTCAAAAGTTAACAACAATTTTCGCTAATATCTCGAAAACAAAAGCTTTCCGTCAATTATGCAAGAGGAAAAAGTTATCCAGAACCACACCCCTAACAACATATTCGAAGGACATTAAAATCGTTCGAAGTTGATTTCAAAAGTTAACAACAATTTTTTGCTAATACCTCGAAAACTAAAGCTTTCCGCGACATTTGTATAGAAACAAAATTGTTCAGAATCATGTCCGTGATAAGATATTAAGAGCGCACTAAAATCGAGAAAAGTTTATTTCAATTAAAAAATGATAAATTTTTTGATAATGGTACCAATGGGGAGTCAGAACCTACCAGATGCAAAAGGTTTCATTCCGATCGGTTCATCCAGCTAGGCGTAATCGGCGAACATACATAGAAAAAAAAAAAAAAATATACTGATCAAATTGAGTAACCTCCTCCTTTTTCGAAGTCGGTTAAAAAATAAACAGCTTATATTAGATATTCTATTTAGCTTATTTTCTCCAGAGTGGTTTCTCAATAGTGGAATAAAATTTAAATAAAAATCTCGATGCCTATTATTATCTTCCCTTTCGAAGCTAGAATTTAAAGTTGCCGAAATTAATAATTGTACCCTTCCTTTTCATCTGATACGAAAAACAATGGATCTTCCATAAACAGCCGAAGGACATACAAATCCTGAAGCGGGAATTCAGACGCGAATTATATTTCATTGCGATAAGATCGATATCCAATTATCATTCCGAACAGAACGTCATGGAGCATTGTTGTTCACCACGGGAATAATTGAGTGGTGAACGTGTAGAACGTCACGCCGCGAATAACGCTCGCCTAATTATAGCTGTTTGTGGTCATCGGAATTGCATCGTTTTAATTTCAAGCGATCATGGGTATTTCGTCGGAGTTGTCTGAATTCTGCAAATCGTTTCATATCTTTCGATGATCAATACCTACGATTATTGGCGCCAGATTCAATAGGTACGGCACCAAATTTAATGTAATAGTTATGTGCCTGCATTGTGAAAGTAAATCTCGATTAAATTTGAATGTTTTATTATACACAGAATGTATAAAGCATCTGCAAAATGTACGTTTTGAATAATTTACTACAGGAGTTTACAGTAGACCTGTGAATTTGATTTCGTATGAATAATTAACAATTTTTAATCCATGGTATAGAATTGTTAAATTGTAGCAATGATAAGTTATAATAATGAATTATTTCTCTTATATTAGGCATATTGCAAAGTTTATATTCTTCGTTTAATTTAAAATTCAATTTCTAACTCTATTAGAAAGTTATGTAAATTATAAAAAGAGAAACATACACATGATATTGCAAGAGTGAATATAGGAGATTCTCCAGTGTCGTTCAAGGTTTTTCTTAAATAAGAAAAAATTATGTTTTAATCCGTTTATTCTATTTTATTTATAAGTTCATAATGAACGACACAAAACAACATTATTATGATAGTTAACTTAAATAAACGTCAAACTGTGGTATATGAGTTTGTAAAGTGATTAATCTTGTACTGAACACAGTAGTATAATACTTACTGTTTTACTTCAATGCAGGTTCAATATAATTTGCAGTTATCATAAGTATAATAATCCGAACGTTCAAGAATATCGGCACAAGCCTTGTGTACCTTCGTGGACAGTTTGAACACTAAATCCAGTTCTTCCTAATTTCCAAACGAACTATTCTGATTTATATCTCAGGTTGCTTTCAGCCTACTTATTATTCGTAACGTTTAATTTTAGCTTCTGCTATTGCTTCTGCAGCTTAGATACATCGCTAAAATACTGCAACCAAAATAGTAAACAATAATACAAGTTGCAACACATAAGATCAAGTGTATCTGACAATAAGGAAAAAGTTTCGTCCGAAATTTGATGATAACACAATTGTTCAAAAAATGTTACTAAAACCAGTGTATTACATGTACAAAATACAAAAGTAAATAAAATAATACCTATTAAAAGATATAATAATGTAACACGCATTTGATTACGATAATTAATACATGCACGTAGAATAGTTTGTAATTTCTACAATACATCGGATTTCTGTAAAAATCAACCTTAACTATACATGCCCGACTGTTACATATTACACCCAAATCATTGTTTATTGTATTTTCTTTACAAATTATTTGAAAAAGTGACTCGATAGGACTTCATATGTGATAAATATAATGTATAGTATTAGGTGTTCTCCAGCAAGATAATGTATAGTATTGGGTGTTATCCGGCAAGAGCTGTTCCTAATAGGTTAGAGAAATAAATGTGGCAAAGTATGAATGTGAAGGGAATGGACAGAACGTTTTGACCCGAAATTTTTGAATTAGATGCGTGAAAAACAAACGAAAGAAAGATGAAAGGAAATTGTTTAAATAGAATGACGTGAATCATCGTACACAGTGAGTCAGAGCCAAACTAGTACATCACATATACGAATACGTTTCATCTTCTGAAAAAATTTAGGAAAGATATAGAAAAAATATTATGAATATATATTGTAACTGTATCTGTATTTATTTATTGTTATTACCTATTATTTGCAGTAGTAATATCAAAAGAAACAAAGTTGATTAAATATAAAAAAATAAAGTTACTAAGATTCAGGCTGGGAAACGTCTCATAGCTAAAATCGCACAGTACATGTATATTTCTTAACATTCCCCAAGGGGAATCCCTGAAAAATAAATAAAAATTACGGAACAAATAAAAGATTACATTATTTGGCTCATTCGCAATTGTCGTTTAATCTCGTAAAGTTCGTAGTTGAAAAATAAAGCGAAAGATAGTGATAATGAGGCAGGCATTAATATAAGAGCTGCAAATAGTTATAAGAAATTTTCAAAGTGGAAAAAGCTATCGTGAAATTGCGAAGATTATAAGTAGCAGTACCAGTACTGTTCAGTATATTGCAAAACGAAACCAAAACGAAAATAGAATAAGCAATGCGTCAAAAGAAGCTTCAAACAAAAAGTTCAAGGTACGAGGTCTGTTCCAAAAATATCCGACCTTCCTTCATATTTCCCTACTGGTGTTATCCTGCGTCATCGGGCTGGTGACATTCTTCGAAGTAGTCCCCATTTGATTGTAGAATACGCTGCCAACGACCTTTCTACTTATGGAAATAGTCCTGAAACTCGTTTTTCGGAATAGCCTTTAGAGCGTTCGTCGTATTAGTTTCGACCGTTTCTTTATCATCGAGTTAGTATCCCTTGAGCGGCATTTTCAATCTTGAAAACAACCAAAAATCGCAGGGAACTACATCAGGACTGTACGGAGGCTGATGGAGCTGTATGACTTTATGCTTCGTCAAATATTGCTGCACAAGATTCGATGCATGCGCTGGCGCGTTATCGTGATGAAGAAGTCAATCACCGCTTGACCAAAACTGAGGCCAAAACTAGTTTTTGGTATTCCAACATCATATTCTAGTTCTCGCACAGTCAATAGACGATCTTCGTTGATTGCAAGTCGCACACGTTCGATATTATTAGGTGTTGTTGTCGTGGAAGGCCGCCCAGAGTGTGGGTTACTATCAACAGATGTGCGGCCATCTTTGAACCGCTTATACCACTCTTTGATTTGTGTGTTGCTCATACACCAGTGCCCAAATGCCTTTTTCATCATTTCGATGGTCTTCGCACAACTCTTTTCGAGTTTTAAGCAAAATTTGATACAAATTCGTTGCTCCGATCTTTCCGTCATTTTTCACAACAGTAGAATGCGATGAACGTAAAAAACGCTTCGTAAACAAATGCACGTTGCACGTGAACTAAGGCGTCCCAACGAAAACTGCGATATCGTGGGAGTTTGTAAAGCTTTGCAGTTGATACTCATACCCGGTAAGTGACGCTAAAATTGTCAGGTGTGAAGAATTTAAAGAGGGTCGGATACTTTTGGGACAGACCTCGTATACAAGGAAAGATGGATAGTACGAAAAATTAAAGCGAATCCGAAGATTGGTGCACCCAAACTTACTAATAAAGTAGAAACATATTTAGGGAAAAGTGTAAATCCCGAAATAGTAAGAAGAATACTCGGAAAACATCATTTTCACGATCATACAGCTCGGAATAAGTCTCTTATAAATGAGAAGAATAGAAGAAAGAGATTAGATTTCGCTAGAGAATATTTATACAGAGATATTAATTTTGGAAAGAAACTATATTTACGGATGCAAATAAATTTAATATCTTTTATTCAGGTGGAAAAATTAAGACGTGTATCAATTCTGAGTAAATTGTATGTTATTGTCGTATATCGTGACAAATCTGACAAGTTGTTCGGAAAACAAAGTAACCAACTGCTCTCGACTAGCGAAGTGTTTTTGAAAAAAACGAAGTGATGAAGTATTCTTCAAAAAACAAAGTAACGAAGCGAGGCTCTTCCTCATGTTATATTCCACATCCCCTTGCTACGTCACTTAACAACTACAGCGATTTCTCGAAAAATCGGCGACGCATCCTCCGCCAATCCTTATTATGTCGTCATCCCTCTGCGGCCGAACAACAAACCGACGATCGCCCATTACTGATCAACGCGCGCATAGCTAGATGGCGCTTAGATCGTTCGCATTACACAAACTATCTGTGAGGACCTACAAGTCCCAAAACCGCGTACATAAAGTTACAAGCTTGTACGTTATACCCCAAATATGCACTTTCATGGGATGTGTCACAATTTTTTGAATCATCCGTTTTCCATGAATATACTAAGCACGCCTGATAGAACACCATGCTCAAAACAAAGATTCATTAGTGAACACCACATCACTCCAATTACGATCGCTATTTCCATCAGTCCACGCCAGACAATTTTCGACATGCTATTTTGAAAGCAACAGTTTCGACAATGTACCTTCCCAGATAACAGCAAGTTTGTCTAAACGCCATTTTAATGTCATCGTACAGATTGATGTCTCTTTTAGTCAAAAACACTTGATTTCGTAATGAAAGAATCGAATTTTTTCAAGAAATAATTGTGGTCAAAGAATAATTTCATTTTCTTATGTACCAATCTCTCGTTTTAACTCTCAGTTTAGGAAGAGATCGAAATTTTTGGTATCCTTATACCGGTTTGCCAACTTCTTAACTTTTACATATATTTTCCAGCACTCGTAAAATTCAATTTTAGCACTTGTGATTGACAATATAGGAACATTGCTTTAAACCGTTTCACATACCCAACACTCATATCGGAAAGCTCTGTCCTTTTCAATATCTTAAACGGAACTGAAAGATATTCAACCAACGCGTAGCAAAGAGGTTTTTACGTCAGGCATGAACTTCGAGTACAAAACTAAGCACTACATTATACGAGAAATTCGAAAAATAGGAGGATTTAATCATATTTGTCGCATACAGTAAAGTCTTGTTCATTAACCGGAAAAATATCTAAGGTAAGAGATCATTGCTGACCTACATCCTAGAACTGAGTATAACTCACTTCTCAGAAGTTACTGACACAAATGAAATTGTGTGTCACATGCATCAATTGGTACCGTAGCGTGCGACGATAACCTGACATCACTTGTTAACTCTGCGTGCAGATTTTTTCTCAGTAATACTGAACAGAGAGGAAATATATCACAAGAATTTCGTGAAATTTTATCCGTATTTCAATCTTACGATAGCGGTATTTTAGCTTGTTATTGTGTGAGTAGGCGTTTTTAGGTTAAAGAGGAAACGAACTTCGTGAGAGTGAAGATCTTAATACCGTTGAGATTCGTAAAATATTATTATTTTTAAATAAAATATAAACTGTAAATAAAATATAAACAATTTAACTCTATATTGGCCTTTAAACAATTATTTTTTACGATGACCGAACAGCTTCAGTTCAGAACCTATCTGAGACATTTCTATAATTACATTCATGCATTTTAACGTTGATTACAGCATGTCAACAAGAGCAATAGCTTAAATAATTTTAAGGCAAGCATGAAGATTGTTAAACGTACTATCTAAATATTGGATATTGGCGCCAGTTAGTTTTTTCTTTTTCTATCACTAGATGTCATAAATGTAAAAGGGGGACGCGACGCTCTTGCGAATACCTATATGTACATATATATACATATATAGGTATTATATATATATAGGTCCTATTCTCTTCTGTTTCTTGATGAGGTAATGCGTAAAACCCTTTCTTGTTCAATTTAAGTGTTATTTCATATTTTCATATACTTATATATATATATATATATATATATATATATATATATATATATATATATATATATATATATATATATATATATATATATATATATATATATATATATATATATATATATATATATATATATATATATATATATATATATATATATATATATATATATATATATATATATATATATATATATATATATATATATATATATATATATATATATATATATATATATATATATATATATATATATATATATATATATATATATATATATATATATATATATATATATATATATATATATATATATATATATATATATATATATATATATATATATATATATATATATATATATATATATATATATATATATATATATATATATATATATATATATATATATATATATATATATATTATATATAGTTTATAAGTGCATTATAATTAAATTATTAAAGTAAAAACTGCCAACAAAGATGTTTTCTGGTATCTATTTTTGTATCAATATAAAAAGAAAGATTTCAACTCTCATAATAATAAAGAAAGTAGGTGTGTAATACAGTACAACTGAAACATTTACATGGTTATACATAACCTCTTGTCCATTCGAAGTTACGTTTCTTACAAAAGTTTAACTCAGGATAATCAGGTGTTATAATAGTTAGTCTATCAAGAAAAGATACAGTTAGTGTGTACTTAGGGGTTAGATTTATGGCACGGATCAGGACTTAGTGTTTATGTTACATCTTCAACAACTTCAACTTTCAAGTAGCACTAGGCGAGTGACGATTAACAGCCAACACCAGGGACCCTTGCCATGGGTCTTAATTTCGCCCATCTAGTGAATTTTTGTATCGCCTTTCCGAGGAGGAAACACGCTGAGGGCACATTGGAAGAGAGGGTACGAAGGGAAATTTTTATTTCAGTTCAGTTTAACTTAGTTCTTTATTCAGTATACTAATCACATCGATACAAAATACAGATTTTAGTTAATACTTATGACACATATACAGGGTGTCCCAGTTTGCCAGCATGTTCTGCACGCATATAATTAAATTATTAAAGTAAAAACTGCCAACAAAGATGTTTTCTGGTATCTATTTTTGTATCAATATAAAAAGAAAGATTTCAACTCTCATAATAATAAAGAAAGTAGGTGTGTAATACAGTACAACTGAAACATTTACATGGTTATACATAACCTCTTGTCCATTCGAAGTTACGTTTCTTACAAAAGTTTAACTCAGGATAATCAGGTGTTATAATAGTTAGTCTATCAAGAAAAGATACAGTTAGTGTGTACTTAGGGGTTAGATTTATGGCACGGATCAGGACTTAGTGTTTATGTTACATCTTCAACAACTTCAACTTTCAAGTAGCACTAGGCGAGTGACGATTAACAGCCAACACCAGGGACCCTTGCCATGGGTCTTAATTTCGCCCATCTAGTGAATTTTTGTATCGCCTTTCCGAGGAGGAAACACGCTGAGGGCACATTGGAAGAGAGGGTACGAAGGGAAATTTTTATTTCAGTTCAGTTTAACTTAGTTCTTTATTCAGTATACTAATCACATCGATACAAAATACAGATTTTAGTTAATACTTATGACACATATACAGGGTGTCCCAGTTTGCCAGCATGTTCTGCACGCAAAAGTAAGAAAAAAATGTTATATAAATATTTGCTCTTAAATGTTTTTATAAGGAGTTATAACTAATAATACAAAATTATAATGAACTGGTATTTCGTCGACACTGCGTACAAACGTATTATGAATATCTATATTTCTGTTTACATAATCTCTTATGTCTACTTGCTCTCGTAGTTGATATCCATATTTTTTATTAACGATTTATTAACGAGTTAACACTTGAAAATGACGTCCACTATTACGAATACGTACGCTATGCCGACGATATGCAAGTTCATTATAATTTTGTATTATTAGTTATAACTCATAAAAAACATTTAAGAGCAGATATTCATATAACATTTTTTTCTTACTTTTACGTATAGAACACGCTGGCAAAGTTTGGCCGGAAAAAGCTAGAACACCCTGTACATTTACACCTTCCCAGACCACACATTACGTAATAATAATATGAATAAATAATATTCAATATCGGAATCAATCCATAATTATTCTGGTCCTGATCCATTAATTGGGTGGTCTTTCGAGCAGACGGCATGTTGTGCAATATTCCAGGTGTGTCAGATCACTCTTATTCACATACAGCTGTACGTGTCATCCAATCAAATGGAATTTTACAAATGTATAAATTTTAATACTAACAATAAAACAAAGAAACTGTTTTATATGCCTCTCGAACGTTTAAAAAATCGATGTTTGAAGTTAGGGATGAAACTTTAAAGGAAGCCTTTTGTTGTAGTACATTATAGCTATCCAAATGCTTTTGGAGTTCCTATTTGTAACCGCATTTTCGGCCTAGTTCTTCACAATCACATATATCAGTATGTTAAAGTTATATCCAGTAATAAACGAGGTGCGCTAATTTGTATTTGT